TTCTACTTCTTATACTTTTACTTCTTATACTTATTCTACCTCTACTTTTACTTCTTCTACTTCTTCTACCTCTACTTCTTATACTTCTTCTACCTCTACTTCTTATACTTGTACTTCTTCTACCTCTACTTCTTATACTTGTACTTCTTCTACTTCTACTTCTTCTTCTATGGGAGAAATGGCGTCGGCTGCTTCCCGTAGCTGCTAGTTAGACCTGTTATGACTCAATCCTGATCCATATATAACTCAGATTTTGAGAAAATTGAAGGCTTTCAGGTGCCTTATAGTACAGAGAATACGGTAATTATAAATCAGTCGAAAGTTGGACCTAAACAGCCCTAATGTGAGATGAAACAAGACCACAACCGGGTCAGACCTTAGTCTAAAGCACTAAAGTCCAGAGGAGGACGGGTTCTGATCCGAGTGGACCGGTTCTGACCTTCTGCAGGATCAGGTTCAGGTACACGCTCTCCTCCCAGTCGATGTCGGGGTCTCCCAGGCCAGGGAGCTTCTTGGAGTCCCTCCGGTAGACCTCCACCTCCACCTGAAACAGAACCAGGATCAGAACCGGAACCAGGATCAGAACTGGGATCAGAACCAGAGACATAATCAGAGACAGAGCCATAACCGGAGACAAAACCAGAACCAGGATCAAAATCGGGATCAGAGACAGAACCAGGATCAGAACCGGTACCAGAACCGGAACCAGGATCAGAACCGGGATCAGAACCAGAGACATAATCAGAACCAGAGAAAGAACCGGAACCAGAGACAGAACCGGAACTGGAACCAAAACCAGAGCCAGAATCAGAACCAGAACTAGAGCTAGAACCAGAGACAGAGACAGAACCAGAGAACGAAGCAGAATCAGAACCAGAACCAAAACCAGAACCAGAGACAGAACCAACCAGAGCCAGAATCAGAACCAGAGAAAGAACCAGAACCAGAGACAGAACTGGAACCAGAACCAGAGACAGAGACAGAACCAAAGACAGAGACAGAACCAGAGACAGAATCAGAACCGGAACCAGAGAAAGAGCCAGAAACCGGAGAAAGAACCAGAACCAGAGATAGAAACCGGAACTGGAACCAGAACCGGAGACCGAACCAGAACCAGAACCTCCCTGATCATCTCTGTCCTGCTGTTTTGAGGAAGTGGAACAGGAGCGCGATTTGATGACTCGACTTTCCCGACAAGGAAGTGGAAAATGTCTCCATTTGGACTTTTACAGAAATGGAAACCTGCCGGCAAACCGAACAAGAGGAGAGGGAACCTGTAAATGTCTGGATGTTTTCAGGCTTTTTAAAGGCAGCAGCGAGAACCAAACTGGATCCTTGTTTCAGAACCAGAACCAGAACCAGAGATCTTAAATTACTTTTAGATTAGCGTAATGTAAATTAGATTTGAAAAAAATCAGAAAAATAGAGAAAAAATTACTAAAAATTAACATTAATTAAGGTAGTTCAAATATTTCTATACCGGCGGTTTTGTTTTTTAATGAGAAAAGCTGGTTAGCTTTGTGCTAGCTGCTATATATTGTGATGCTAACGTCTGATTTACCGTAACGAATCAGACTGGTTCTGTTATTTACTGAATTGGGGAACAGTTCTCCTCCACTACCTGATAAAAAATGCTGCTCTACCTATTAAACTTAGTTGTTTTTAAAAGATAAACTGTGTCCCTAAAACACCACGTCACGGACATTAGTGCGGGAAAATTAATAAAACGGCTGTTTATTAATTTTGGGAGTGAACGGAGTCGTCAGAACGCTGGTTTGTGTTTGTTAATAAAGTTTTGTTGACGTTTTCTTTAGCGTATATGCATCTGGTCGATGCTAACTCAACCCCAGAACGAACTGGAGCTTTTATTGTATGTAGTTTATAATCTGTTGCGCCTTATATACGGAAAATACGGTAATCTGGGAGTCTGAAAGCACTCAGCTTCCACAATGAAACAACCTGGACTCGGAGAGGCGGTAACCGAGGCAACCGGGGATGGAGGGGATGTGGGACTAAAGACAAAAGGCGCTCGGAGAGCCAGCCTTCATGAGATGAGATTACAAAGACAAGAGGACACTCGAACTGCATGTGTACACAGACGCCTCGTTACAGGGAACATCTGGATTTAAAGGAG